GTTTGTTACTATTTACGTTTTTTTTTTTTTTTTTGTGTTGGTGGTTGTGTTTCTCTTTTTTTTTCTGGTGAATAAATATAGAGTTTAGGGTATCAAGTTGTTGGTATTCTTGAAAACTTTCCATGTTTGTAATTTGGAATATTTTTCTAGCTATAGAACAATTTTTCTTACTATTTTTGGAATCCTATGTTAGTTAAAAGTTGACTTGGGTATGAACTTATGAATGTTACTTTTTAGGTTTTGATGTTTTGGTGAATTATTTCCATGGATTGTGTTGTTTTAGCCATGGACTGCTGTAAAGTTGTTATCTTTAGGCTGTTAGTTTCTAGTTTTATGTCCAAAGTCTTGATTTTTACTCTTTAAATTTGGATTAATTTGGTAATGTAGGTAATTTTCAGGGATTTGGCTGTTTTAGCCGAGGGCCTATTGGAAACAACCTCTCTGCCCTACCCTACCCTCCCCAGACCCCACTTGTGGGAATTCAGCGGGCTTGTTGTTGTTGTTGTTGGGTTGGTTTAGCCATGAACTGCTGTAAAGTTGTAATCTTTAGGCTGTTAGTTGCTAGTTTTAGGTCCAAAGACTTGATTTTTACTCTCTAAATTTGGATTAATTTGGTAATGTGGTTAATTTTTTGTTGGTGGATAGTAACCTCCATGAATTTTAGCTGTAAAAATTATTGTTGAACAGTGCAGATTGTTTTTTGTTGTGTGAGTTTTAAGTTAGATAGAGCATATATCACTGCTTTTGGTAGATTATGGTTGATTGGTTAAGGACTTCTGGTGTAGATAATTTGGAGGAATGACAAGGGTTACTCGTGATTTTGGCGATACGATGCAAAGGGATGCTGTTCCTCCTGTATCAGCAGATGTGATCTTCCCTTCTAGCCGCTTTCCACATTACAAAATAGGAGCTAACAATCAGATTGTGGAGGTGAAGGAGGATTCTACGGCACTTACAATGAAAGAGGTGGTTGCTCGAGAAACTGCCCAGTTATTAGAGCAGCAAAAACGACTCTCTGTTCGCGATCTAGCCAGTAAATTTGAAAAGGGTCTTGCTGCTGCCGCCAAGTTGTCTGATGAGGTACGGCCTAAATTATGAGTTTGCATTTCCACTACTCTTGAATGGATAGTTCCATAGTTATAACTCAGTAGTTCCCTTATCGGCCAATTACCCCTGTGATAATCCAAAACTAGAAAAGGGATAAGAAAAGAACATGGAATATGTTCCTTTTTTGGCCAACTCTCCGTTGGTAATGTTGAGTTTGTCATAAAGAAGTGTCTTATAAGTATCTTATACGTGGGGTTCAGGCAAGACTCAAAGATGCAGCTTCACTGGAGAAGCATGTGCTGCTAAAGAAGCTCAGAGATGCACTTGAAGATTTGAGAGGACGTGTGGCGGGGAAAAACAAGGATGATGTGGAGGAAGCTATTGCAATGGTTAGTTTTATGTCCTTTACAGGCTTTCTTTGACTAGTTCGGTATGCCCTTTTTGAGTGATATGCTTCTTTGCAAGATAAATATTCCTGCTAGGAGAGAATTTGAAACCTACATCGTAATGTAAGTTGTAGCATTGGATAAAGAGTACACTACTTATTAATGCTTGCATGCCGGTGCTAAAATAGCTTGTGATTTGTAGAATTTTTAGAAATAATATTACGTACAAATAGAGTATATATGTAATGAAGACTGTCATTACTACCTATCAAACAAAACAAAACAAATGAAGACTGTCATTAGTCAGTACTATGTATGACGCCCGAGCAGATCAGTTCCACACTTTCATATTTTGACTCTCAGCATCCTCAGTTTACTGATGATTTTCGGTTTTGAGCTGAAAAATCAAGTTGCTTGAATGATTGCTTATATGTGATTTATGATTGTCACATCTAGTTTAGTGCTACAAGTTGCATTTCCTTATGCTTTTATGCTACATAAATCTCATAAAATAAAATTTGTGTGAAGAATCTCCTGTATTTGGCAGTAGTTGCTGATGAAAATTTCTCCTAACCCTCCTTTTTAGCAGTATATCTTTGTCATCTTGAATTTTTTCATAGGTTGAAGCTTTAGCAGTACAATTAAGTCAGAGGGAAGGAGAACTGATTCAGGAAAAGACCGAAGTGAAAAAGCTTGCTACTTTTCTGAAGCAGGTAAAACATAGTATGTGTTGAGAAATGGTCATGAGTTTTCATTTCCTATTATGGACTCTGAATAAAACTTTATTGAGTCTACTATGCTTCCTGGATTGTAGGATGCTTATTCTGTCTGTTGAGTAGATAGTTTTATGGTAAATGGTGTAATTAAAAGGTGTCTCTTTTCGTATTCTTGAGCCGAAGGTTTTCTATCGGAAACAACCTCTCTACTCCCTCGGGTAGGGGTAAGGCTCCCCAGGGGCGGATGCACGTGGCACCAAGCGGTGTCACCCGACACCGCTTCGCTAAAAGAATTTACTAAATTATATGTGTGGAAAATGATTAAAGGAAATCACAAAATATTAAATAAATTTGGATGACACCACCGGACACATACAACATATTTAGTCTAGCGGTCCTGTCCCATAATGAGAAAGAGGTCCCAAGTTCATATCCTCCCTAGCATCTTATGGTTTTTTTCTCTGGCTTCATCTTTTTTATTTCTTTAAAAAAAAAAACACCTTAAGAACACTAATAAAACTAGAGAAGACAATTCAACGAAATTCCAAGACTAAGAAATATGAGTAGCACTTTATCAGTTTATATAACTTTGTAGAGTTTAAAAATCTAATCGAGTAAAAATTAATAATATATTCTCCTATATCTTTCAAGTTTTTAAAAGAAAGTTTAAGCTGTAAAAGTTTACCTAATTTGGAAGAGATTTCCGTAAATCAGAACAATAGCATCCAGTATGAAAATATCATCCAAACATCATACAATAACAAAATGGTATATATTCAACTAAAAAAAAAGTTGGACTATCATGAGAACATTTCAAGAAAAAGAAAAGCTCGTCAGAGATAATTGTATTAATATACATTTCGATGTGATTTAATAAAATAATCTTGATATAGTAATTTGTTCATCAGTTCATATTTTAAAATATTGACACCGCTTACCTAAAATCCTGCGTACGCCCCTGAGGCTCCCAGACCCTAGTTGTGGAATTTTACTATGTTGTTGTTGTTGTAATTAATAAGAGGGTTTTCTTTAGAAAGTAGCTATTTCTGTTTGACAATAGTCTCGTGTCATTAGGAAATCATTTCTGTCGTTTTTACTGATTTCAGATGATTTACCAAATAGTCAGTTCTTTAATATGCTTCATATAGATTACACAAATAACTTAAGAAGTCATAATCTAGAAGCAATTTTTAAGGATAACTGGAGACTATCTTTGTCTTTTATGAGGTTAGAGTTTAATGTTGAGGCTAAATTAATGGAGTTAAGTAATCAGTTCAAGTTGTTAATTTCTCGAGCAGTCCCGCAAATTCAATCTGTAGCATCGGAGTCTTACCACTTTCTCTTTCTCTATCTAATCAATCAGTCAACGCCTTCATCCCAATTCGTGCTATTACATCCCAGATTTCTCTCTTTTCAGTTTCTTTTTCACTATTTTCTTTGTTACTCTCATTTTTTATTTTTCTTGAGCCGAGGGTCTATCGGAAAAACCTCTCTACCTTCACTAGGTAGGGGTAAGGATGCGCATACTACCCTCCGTAGGCCCCCTTGTGGGATTACACTGGGTCTGTTGTTGTTGTACTCTCATTTTTTATTCTGATCATAGATGCAATTGTTTAACAGGCTTCTGAAGATGCTAAGAAACTTGTTGAGGAAGAAAGAGCTTATGCAAGGGCTGAAATTGAGAATGCAAGAGCAGCTGTTCAGAGAGTGGAAGAGGCTCTTCAGGAGTATGAACGAATGTCCGGGACCTCAGGAAAGCAGGTTTTTTCCAGCATTCTGATTGCCCAATTTTACTTTATATTAGCTTTTTAATGTGGTGAAATTTTTACTGCTTTTCATATCCTGTAAGTTGATGTCTTTTGTTCTCTGTCTTCAATTAAACTTTTTCCAAATACTGACATGCTTTGAGGACCCTGCGCGCAGTGCTGTTCTCCCTTAGCCCATATTTTCTTCATGTTTTGTTCTTATAAGCCTTGGATGGTTTTGTTAACTGTATATAACCATAAGTGGAAGATGCTATCGTATGGCGTGTTGTTTCTTAGTTTTTGGATCTTCTCTCTTCTGCCTGCTGCTCTTGCTCTATTAAGTTTGTTGGTCACTTGGTCCAAAAGTGAAAGCTCTGGGTTTCTTTTTCCTTGTATGTACTGGCAGAAATATTTTTATGCAAAAATTTTTGATACAATAACTGTGACTTATTTGCACATTGTTCTATTCCACATTTATTTTGGTTTATTTAAATCTTTAATATTAGCAGCTTGTTTTGAGCCCACAACTTTTCTTTTCTTGATCATGCTAACCTAATACAATTTGCTGGAGTTTAGGACATGGAAGAATTGATGAAGGAAGTTCAAGAGGCAAGGCGAATCAAAATGCTACATCAGCCTAGTAAGGTATCTGCGTATTGGCTTTCTCTACCGTGATGTTACATTAATTCCATTTAAGATTCCCTCCATGTTTCTTTATTTTCTCTATTCTTTTATTTACTCTCGGTCATATATCTGGTTATGCTACATGTGCTGGCCGATAGATGTTATGTGAAGGAGAATTCTTAGCATTAGGAAGCGACCTATTACGGGACCCTTAAACTTTTCAAAAAAAGATCTTTTTGTGCTTTTGGTACCCATGATGATGTAGCATTCATATTTAGTTTCTGCAATCTGGAGCTTAGCCTTCATTTTATCCAAATTTAAAAGAAACCAGCCAAAGATATTGTAAGACTTCCAAATGATAGTTCTAGTTGGGAGAAATATCGTACTTTCAACGTGAAACTTATTTATTCATTCGAGAAAGCATGAACTTATTTTACTTGAAGAAAGAAACCACCACTGTTCGCACTTCCCACAAGCCACACTCTCTCCTGGTTCATGGGAACCTCTTACTGCTCCGGCCAGCTAATCCCTCTCCCACCCTCTCTCAATTTTTCTAGTTTCTTTTTATCCGAGAAAAAGCTAAAATTCAGGATTGCCATCACATTCGAAAGAATTAGGATAGTTTTGCTAATAATTCACTAAAATGGCCACATTGGAAAAATTGAAGACCAAGTGTGCTACTTTCAGAAATCAATGGCGCTAAAAAACAAGTTTTCCAGTGCCATAGGAAGTATTCTTTTAATAGTTCTGTACTGGAAACTTCCTTAGATTGCTTATGTGGGAGTTGGTAGTTTTTTCTCATTCACAAATACATGGATGAGGTCTTATTGTAGACAATATAGAAGAAGCTCCGTGTATAGGAGTTTAGCTTTAGTCTACTAAAATACAGCAAGTTTTGACATATTAAACTTACCTTATGAAATAAGTACAGTTATTGAATAACGAAAATTACCAAAAACAAGATTCATAATTATGACAGAGTTGGAAAGAGTAATACTATTAACCTAAACACGTAGTGTGACCTAGAACATTCTAACGTATGGCTAAATAAATTCTCGACTTTCGACATATCTAATACATGATGCTTCCGCTAACAGGTCATGGACATGGAGCATGAGCTTCAAGCATTACGAGTGCAGCTTGCAGAGAAATCCAAGTATTCAGTGCAGCTTCAGAAAGAGGTATGTGCAACACCTAGTTCAAAAGTATATGCATGTATCTTTTGATACTTCCTGGTCTTTATGGATAGTGTGAGTATGGTGAATAGCGTATTTCGCTGGTGGCACTTGTGTAAATTACAGAAAATAAATGATTTGTTGGTTTTAGGAACTATCCTCCATTTAATATACTGATTTTGACTGAAAGGAAGAAGTACATCTTTAAGAAACACTGGAAGTCAAAGAGATTGATGAGAACAATGTCAATTGAAAGAAGTCAAAATAATGCTATCTGAATTTCTTTTCTTTTTTTAATTGTCTATGATAAAAAATGTTCTCTAACACGGTCTTGGTAAGAGTTCAAGTTATGCTATAAAGGCAAAGTTGTAATCTCAAAGCAAAAAGTTCTGATATACCATATTGTTTATCAGTTGGCAAGGAAGATGGGTGAGGAAACTGTATCACAGTTATATGAATTAGATGGCACGGAAGCCCTGGGTTCGTTTTTGCAAATACAGCCCTGTTCTCTGGCTGCTCCAGAACTTTCAGAATGTTCAATTCAGTGGTTTCGCTTGGCTTGTGAAGGCGGAAAAAAAGAACCTATTTCAGGTATCTGAGAGTTAGTTTACATTGCCCTGTTTGTCTATGCTACTTAATCAATGTTCTCTAGATACTTAATGCATTATGATAAAGGGTATTTTCGTCACGGGTTTCTCTCTGAATGATCCTTTACACAGCTTTTCAAATAGCCATATTCCCACTAGAGAGCTTGTACATGTTGAAATTGTCTTACTGCCTTTATTATGGTTTTCTTCTGTAAGCATCTTATATTCATGTTTTATCCAACATTAAACTGCTCATGGCTCCTCTCTGGCATAAAGGTTATCTATTATAGTATCTTCCTCATTTTTTATAGTGACACTTGCTTTTGCACCGCAATTTAATGTGTAGTATTAACTTTTTTCCATTTCTGACGTGTTCAACTATCTGAGTTCAGGGGCCACCAAACCTGTTTATGCTCCAGAACCATTTGACGTTGGACGAGTTTTGCAAGCCGAGATAACATATGGAGACCAGACAACATCGGTGACAACTGCTAGTGCTATTGATCCAGGTTTGTCTCGATTCCTTATATGTAGTGCTTTCTGTTTGCAATTCAATTCTAGTAGCTGCTGGCCTGAATTTGATATTTGTTTAGCTTAATTACTTCTATATTCCCATACCTTTATAATGATTGACACGGCTTTCCTTTAACAGCTGCAGGCTTGGGGAACTATGTTGAAGCTCTGGTGCGGAGGCATGACATTGAATTCAATGTATGAGTCCAATTTAATTTTGCACCTTTATTAGGAATATATCAAACTTGAGTTCTTTATTCATTAATTTACCACCTATTTTTTTTATGTATCTTCTAATTGTTCCCTTGTGGCTGCATTATCTTTACCAACACGTCTCAGCGTGCTCTCTCTATTCACCAATTTAAATAATCTTTCTGCCCTTTAGTCGTGCATTTCCTACGGGCACATCACATTTTGTACGTTAACATAATTAAATAAATAAAAATGCCAAATCTCTGATAGCTTAACTTCTAGATGAGGCGGTTACACAATTCAATACTATATCAAAGCTTACTTTTGGTAGTCTTTTCTCATGCTTGTAAGTCCACATTATAATTCCCACATGAACACCAAAACTAAGTTACACGTGCGTGAGTATGTTGAGTTATATAGTTGGGGGTGAAGACCGGTAACGGGGTTTATAAAGGCCTTGGGCTATTCCACCAATTGCCTTCTCTCATTGTCTCCTCTTGTTTCGCTTATTTCAACATGGTATCAAAGTAGACAGATGTTTTATGTTCAAGGTTCACCACCACCCATTGACAAAATGTGTTTGCTTACAAATGGGGTGTACTTGGCCATATTAGATAAATAAAAGTGTCCATCCTTTAATAGTTTAAGTTTCTAAATAAGGCAGTAACATAATTGACCAACAATTTTTTCCAATTTCTACAAGAACATAACCATGAGAATGTGAAAATTAACAACATTTTTTCCATTTTTTTCCATCTTGGTCTATTGACATTGTCGCTGCATTTATCTTTTTCCAACTCCTTTAACGAATATCTTTATTGTATGTTTTGTAGGTAGTTGTCGTCCAGATGAACGGAACAGATCATACATCAGAGAGTATCCATGTACTCCACATTGGAAGGATGAGAATGAAACTTCATAAAGGGAAGACAAGTGTAGCAAAAGAATACTATTCCGCTTCAATGCAGGTATTCATGACGCCTACTCCCTTGCCATTTCTTTCATTAGGTATTGATCGAGCTGAGATCAGAACTTTGAAATACTTGGAGTTTTCTCAAGTTGGGGTAGAAGATGAACTAAGTATTTTGAGCTCTTGGAAATATGGCAAAAACATTGATTTTATTATGTAAATTAGAGATAGTGTTGCGAGAGCTCATAGAATAACAGAAAGAACAATACCATCATGTTGTTTAACTAGCAAAACATAGGACTGCCCACAAACCTGTATCATAAGCAATAGGCGACTGACACATGAGAATTTAAACGACTGCCAGCTCTCGTTCACTAACGCATTTGTAACATTTGCCTATTTACCACAGTTATGTGGAGTCAGAGGTGGTGGAAATGCTGCAGCTCAGGCAGCATTTTGGCAAGTAAAGACAGGACTTTCTTTCGTATTAGCGTTTGAAACGGAAAGAGAAAGAAATGCAGCCATTATGCTGGCCCGAAGGTTTGCCTATGACTGCAATGTAAGTATAGACTTATCATTAAACAACTAGCGAAAAGCCGTTGTTCTTGTAATCTTTATCAAAAACGACTTATGTAACTTTGACTTGTAGATCATGCTAGCTGGACCGGATGATAGAGCAGCTCTTGGATCTTAAGAAACTATAATTTTTCGCGGGAGAAGTTGTAATTATACTGACTCTGATGTATCTATAGGTTTTGTAGTAGTGAATATCCTATAGTCTTGATTGTTGTGTGGCTTTTTTTTCACCACCTTCTATTCTCTTCTTTATCTCTATCTTGATAGCAAGGCATTGTTTTTTTTTTTTTTTACTTGCCTCCATTTGATTGTAATGATTCTTTGGTCCTGGTTTCTTTGTTTTGACAAGTGATTATAATTGAGCTTCTCACTACTTTGCCTATGCTCTTCAAATGACAATTCATCTTTGTTTTAGCTGAATAAAAGACTAAGTCATGTTTTTTCGCGAGGCTTTGGTCTCCTGGTAAGAGTGCAACATGTGACGTGTGGGGGTTAGACGCACGTTACAGTTTCGAACGAAAGAGAGTATTAAATATATTAGCAAATTCCAACTAAAGTTCTATTTCAACCGCATTCCCTATTGCAAAGAAATCATCCTCGGGTGTGGGACATGGCTTGGAGTCTTGCAAATGAGTTCGAGTAATTCCAAGGTGTATTTAGTCTTGCAAATGAGTTCGAGTAATTCCAAGGTGTATTTAGTCTGAGTCAAGACTAGAGAAGTTGATGTACAATGACCAATTGTGAAAGACCACTCTCTCGTTTAAGGATGCCTAACCGCCTCACCGATCATTCGGTGGTTTGCAAGGACATGATCTTGATTTTCATAATTTTCATTAGTTTTCGTCCTTGTAATTCTACAAGGATAAACTGCTAAAACTTCATATTTTTCATTAGTTTTTGTCAAATAAATAAGGAAATATTGAAATTGTATGAATGAGCCTATTAAGGGCTTTTTTTTCACTTTTAACGCGCCAGAAACTATTTACATTCGGTAACCGAAAAAGTATATAAAATTTCTATAATTTTGGTATATAATATACAGAACGTTTATATGTACAAAAATTATATATTTTTTCGACTATTATTTTGAGAGCGGTTATACATTGTCATTTTTCCTATTTTTTTAACTTCTGAAAGTTCTATTTTGGTATGTTGACAGTTGATATATGTTTGTACAAGTTCAGACACTTGGCTGTGAAAAATTGGATTGAGGAACCATGGACAAATTGCCAGAGTAATAGGATACTTTTAGATTGAGAAAAAAAGGACAAATTCTTATTGCTTGTGCCATTCTATTTAAACTAATCTTAGCTATTTTATATAAAAATAAATAAATAAATAAATAATGACAATAAATATTTACTTGCGTGAATTTCATGAGATTGTAGGTCTTTTGAAGTAACTTCATTTCATATGATTTTAGGTGTAATTCATCCTCTTTTACACCTTCGTTCATTCATAATTTCACACGTGTAAACTCGTATTTTTGAGGATTAACGCATGACATGATCAATTTATAATATGAAAAATAATTTAAAATATCATAACAAGGTATATGCTTTTAACCTTTTAAATATTTCGCTTCTCTCACCAAATACATTTGATCATTGATAGTGGTGATGTTTGAGATAGCTTACTGCCTAATTCTTTATACTGTCTGTTTTCACTTAGAATCTATAGATGATGAAGTTATACACCAAATTTATCCAAATATCAGAGAAAAGAAATTGTACACAAAATTCTAAACTTGGTCAAAATTATTTCAAAGTAGAAATTACTTGGCCCTTAAATGGACTTGAGGAGTAAATGCTCATGAAAAAAATTACTTTCTTTGTCCATTTTAAGTGTCCTTTAAATTTTTTGTGCGTACAATGAAAAATATTAAATACAATGTTTATTTTACTAACACTGAGTTTGGATCATTGTTACCCATCATATTGTAATGTATTGTATTATACTATATTATATTGTATTGTATTGTTTTATGCATACAATGTTTGAATAAATTATAACGTTTGTTGTTTTTAAATAATATTTTTGTTATTTGGTTTGACTGTATCGTACTGTACTGTAACTAATAAGTTCACTAAAATACTCCCAATTGTTTAAAATAAAATTTATCAAGAATTACACATAAAAATAATTTAAAAAAATCTCTTTCTACTAATTTATCATTAATTACATAGCTTGGAAACAAGAGCAAAAACCTGGAAAAAAAAAAGGTTAACTAATATTAGCAACAACAAAAAAAAATAAAATTAAAACAATAGAAAGAGACAAAGAATCGAACAAAGACTTGGATAAAAAGAACGGGGCAAACCAACTCTAGAAAAGATGCAAAAGACAAAGTAGATCAATAGGTTGGAGATTTGGAGTTAAAATAAAAAATAAAAATGATAAAATAAAATTATGGATTAATAAATAAGGGTATAATTGAAAAAGAAACTAGGAAGCAATCCCACCACACCAAATCGATTGTTTCATAAAATTGAGCTTTTGGTTGTTCCGGAACAATGCATTTAACAATACAGTACAATCAATTTAAATCAACAATCAAAACAAACATTGCTTTGGAAAAAAAAATACAAAATCATACAATGGGTAACAACCATCCAAACAAACTGTAAATTAGCCACATATTTTTTGACTATAAATACTACTATTAGAAAGTAAGTACTATTAATCACTTTTGACCTATTAATAACAAGAGTAAAATTAAAAAAATAATTAATTTTGTCTTAATTTTCTAAAATAACAATTTTAAAGCAACTTTTGGGGTAAAATAACACTTACAGTTGGTCAAAGGAAGAATTTGATTCAAGAAAGAATATTATATTCATAACGCAAAGATCTCATAATATAGTGTTGCAGATCTGTATCACTCTAATGAATTCTTTATCTCGACAACTTTGATATGAAAACTCTTAGCGTATAACTTTCGTCTCTTTATCACTTCATTCTCTTAGTTCTTTAGTCTTTAAAGATAGAGAAATACACATTCATGCCATATTTGCATAATAATCTGACTTTAATGGGGTTTTCATCTCTGAACATAAGTAGAATTAAGGCGTTCCACTCAAATTGAAATAACATTTGGCTGGTCCTTTTGATCTAATTGTACCATGCATCTCTTGCCTCGCGACTATATGATTGAGATTCCCTACTTCATTATCATATATCGCTTCCTTTACCTGCATCGATTTAGTAAGGCCAAAATAATTCTCTAAAATTCATTTTGGCAAGAAAACGCAACGCAGATTTTGAAAGCTCAGCTAAACATGCCTCTTAGCTAACGTGCTTGTAAGTCTGTCCATACATCAAATTTATAAAAAAAATCAGTTTACGCGCAAGTTATTCGTATGTCTAAATTTCTTACTTTTCCGAAAGCTATTAGGAAAAGCAATATATTGTTTGACATGGACTTAAATCCATTACCGGTTAGGATTAAGGTTATTGACATGTCCATATATATTTTAGCGCATGTCTAGTTTGGAATTATGCTGCTATATATTCGGGTGATTAGTTAATATTCTTTTTCATTCTTCTTGCTAAAGCCTCTAGTACTGTTTGTTCAATTATATTTTAGATATGGAGAGGAGTAATTATCCACCATGATTGTTAACTCTATTAAATCCTGATTTTTATGTACTCAGTAGTCACTGTGACACACAATAATCAGTATTGTACCTATTTTTGTAAGAACTGCAGAAGCAAACCTCTTTATGAATTATGTTGAAAGGTTTGCAGGTAAGTTTTTCACCAATAAATAAAAGTTTTATTTTGAAATGGGTGTCTTCAAATTTTGTAAAGTTCATACTAGTAAGGCCAAAAAGTCGTACTTTTTCGAACCGGTTCCGGCTCAATTACGGTCCAGACGCCGGTGGCTCTGGGTACATCTAGGGTTTCCGTTCCGGTTCGTGAATCCGTGGGTGGAGTGCTTAACGGAGAGAAGAAGAAAGGATGTTCTTCTCCTAAGGTTTCTCTGCATTTGGAAGTCAACCGTCGGAGTATACGCCGGGCTTCTTCGGAGTCCGACGTGATTTGGTCGGCGGTTGAAGGTCATGGTGTAACAAGGACGTTGAGTAAGCTCGGATCGACGTAGTTTCCGGCAATAATATCGGAGGAGGATTGCATTACTAAGCAGGAGGAGTTGGAGGTTTTGCGAAGTATTGGATCGCTGAGTTTAACGGAAGATCAAAGGAGTTACGCTTACGCTGAAGATTGGACGCAGAACAGTATTCCTACCAATGAACTCGGATTTCTCGGCGGTTGAACCGGCAAAAACAGAAAGTTCCCTGGCGAAGGCGGCGGTGAGGTGAATCCGACGCCAGTAGTTTCACCGGTGGTAACTCTGATCCAAAGTAAATTGGAGTGTACTATAAGGAAATGTTGAAGTCAGATCCTATGAATTCTCATCTTCTTAGAAACTATGGAAAGTACTTGCATGAGGTAGAGAGAGATTATGTGAAAGCTGAAGAATGCTGCGCTGGCAAGTCCTGGAGACGGAGAAATGCTTTCTATGTATGGTAAATTGGTTTGGGAGAGTGAGCAAAACGAGAGTAGAGCCAAATCTTACTTCGATCAAGCTATTCAAGCTTCTCCTGTCGACTGCACTGTGTTAGGATCATATGCAAAATTCATGTGGGAAGCAGAAGAAGACGATGAAGAAGAAGAAAAGATGGAGAGAAAAACTGTAGCAGTCGGAGCTGCCATGGTTACAGCTTAAGCTCACCTTCTTCGGCTTTGGAAAGCTAGTATTATCGCTGAAAAAAGAAGGAAAAAAAGGCCAAAAAGTCAATTTGTTAAAAGAAACTTCTATATCAAACGTTCAAACTTGAAACAATAAAGTTATAAATAGCATCTTAAGTGGATTAAATTACATGAGAGTTAATAATATCGCATTTTCAAGGTTAGGCTGATTAGTTAGGAAAATTAATTTGCTTAGTTATACAATAGAAACGAAAGTATAGTTAGTGCCGCATTGTTTTCATACTAATAATTTATAGTTGTAATATTTTTACAATGCACAAAACCTTTAGATTTGTTAGAAGTAATATTTATTTGTATTGTTGAAATTATTTCAAGTTAACAAAATGTTAGCCATATGGTATATTATAATACGTTAGTTCATGTTGTGAAAAACTTTATTGAGTGATATGAAAATTTGAGAAGATTAATTCAAAATCTTTAAAATAAGGTAAAGTTGTACCTTTTTTTTTGGTCGAAAGTAAAATTTTATTTCAACCAGTTTTTCTATTTACATCATCTGCACTTTTTGACTCCAGTAGCTGGTCTCAAGACTAAACCAGCAAAACAAGAAACTATACAACCCTGAGGTTGCCTATCTAAGACCGCTTATAACAAGCGTGGATGTTTCCTCTATCCTTTTTTCTATGAATTACAAAGTAGGATAACTATTCAGTGTAACCAATATATGTTTCCATTTACATTTCTGTTGTCCTGTTATGTGCACTTGGATTATGATGTCTTTAGCTCTGTCCTTGGCCTCTCTTTTCCGGTTCTGAAATCTTCTATCATTTCGTTCCATCCAGATATGATACACCACTGCTGCAAACACAACTCCTAGAATTGTCTTTCTTGGGTTCCTATTGTTAGCATTGGCATATAACCACTTTACTTCAGCTTCCCAGTTTATGACCCTTCTTTGATATCTTAGCCAACTTAGCATTACTTTCAATAATCTTGTGGTAGGCATACCACCCGCTCCCATTTTATTATATCTTGTGGTAGGCGTACCACCCGCTCCCATTTTATATATCTTGTGGTAGGCGTACCACCCGCTCCCATTTTATTATATCTTGTGGTAGGCGTACTGCCCGCTCCCATTTCATTATATCTTGTGATAGGCGTACCACCCGCTCCCATTTTATTATATCTTGTGGTAGGCGTACCACCCGCTCCCATTTCATTATATCTTGTCATCAATTATAAAAGAATATCGGCAAGAAAAATAATAAGGAAACAACAATATCTCGGCAAGGGAATAATAAGGAAAACAACAATATCCCGGCAAGGGAATAATAAGGAAACGACAATATCCCGGCAAGGGAGTCAACAACAAGAATAAACACGTCACGGCAAGGGAACCAACAGTAAGAATTTAATGTGTCCCGGCAAGGGAATCAGCTATAACCAAACTTGTACCAACAATTAACCTCACAATGAAACCTCCACTACACAACAAGATGTAATAAGCACGTGATAACTACACCGGCAACCACAACAATTGGACATGTAACCCATTTGCACGAAGTCATAGAGGAACTCACAACCAAGAAACACCAAAACAATAAGGAAGACAATCGCTTCATTTAAGGCAATTTAGGGTCAATGTAACACGTAACAATTAGAGTAAAGCTAGCAACGTCATATGGAGCATATAGGGGCAATTTAAGCAATTAGGAAACCCAATCATAACTGGTTACTTTCCACATAAGGACCTAAGAACCCTAGGCAAATTTCCCACAAATAAGTCCGAGCACACACTCGTCACCTCGCATGCATGGACTACAATTAGCATAGAAGACTCAATTCCTAAGGGGAAGTCCCTCACACAAGGTTAGGCAAGATACTTACCTCAAAGGCGACAAACCGATACTCTAAAATGCACTTCTCGGGTGAAAAGACCTTCGGACGGTTTAAATCTAACCAAATTAACTTCAAAGCACAAATACAACATATAAGAAACTATTCCGGATCATAAAGTTTTAATCTTTAAAAAAATATAAAAATCGACCCAAAAAGTCGACCCCCGGGCCCGCACCTCGGAACCCGTCAAATTTTACAAAATCCGATCACCCATTCCAAAATGAGTTCAACCATACAAATTTTATCAAATTCCGATACCATTTGGTCCCTCAAATCACGGTTTTTCATTTTAGAACTTTTCTTCAAAAACCAACTCCTTCCCCAACCCCAAACAGAATTTAAATGATAAAAATAAAGGCAAATTCATGGAATATATTTAATTATAGTTGAAGAACACTTACCCAATTGTTTTGCTTGAAAAACCCACAAAGAATCGCCCAAAACCGAGCTCTAGAACTCCAAAAATGTTAGAAATGGCCTAACCCTCGATTTGAAAAACTTATATTCCACCCAGATATTTAAAGCATCGCGAACGCGGAGGAAGTCTCGCGTTCGGGAAGAAGAAAAATGAAGGCTGCCCAGATGTGCTTCGCGAACGCGGAAGCACGCACGCGAACGCGAAGAAGGAAAATATTATGGCCCAGAGATTGCTCTTCGCAAACGCGTGAAATTGTACGCGAACGCGAAGAGTGGAATTGCATAGCTACGCGAGCGCGTGAGGGGGGACGCGAACGCGAACGCGAACGCGATGAGGAATAAATCAGAGCTTCGCGAACGCGAGGAGAGTTAAGCGAACGCGAAGAAGGATTTCCAGGTGATTAGCAACAAAGCTTCGCGAACGCGAAAGGCCTTTCGCAGACGTGAAAGAGGATACCAGAAGCAGAAAACAGCAGTTCAAAATAGGAGAAAAATGACCCGAAGCCCATCCGAAACACACCCGAGGCTCCCGAAACCCTGTCTAATCACAAAAACAAGTCATATAACCTAACACGGACTCGCTCGAGGTTTCAAATCACATAAAACAACACCAAAGCAACAAATCAACCAAAGATCAAACTTATGAATTTCCAAATCTTCAAATATCAAATCTCATGCCGAAACCTATCAATTCAAATCGGAATAACGTCAATTTTTGCAAACAAGTCCAAAATGACATAATGGAGCTGCTCCAACTCTAGGAATCGCATTCCGACCCCGATATCACGAAAGTCAACTATAGGTCAAACTTCTCCATTTTCCAACTTTCACCGAAATGCCTCAATTTACCCTACGGACCTCCAAATTAGACTCCGGACGCGCGCCTAAGTCCAAAATCACCATACGAAGCTGTTGGGATCACCCATGACCCATTCCGGGGTCGTTTACTCAAAAGTCCAATTCCGGGCAAATTTTCATTGTCTAAACTTCTAAAACTAGATTCCTTCTTCCAGTTCAACTCTGATTCATCCGGAAACCGAATCTAACCATGCACACAAGTCGATGTACCTAATGTGAAGCTGCTCGAGACCTCAAACTATCGAATCGGGCGCAGTTGCTCAAAACGACCAGTCGGGTCGTTACATCCTCCTCCACTTAAACATACGTTCGTCCTCGAACGTGCCCGAAGTCGCTCCAAAGCCGTCGAACCACTGCATGAGCTCACCATACATACACCCGGGGGTGATTCTCCATCACCCCACCTAAGCAAAACTGACAATACCATTTAGCTGAAGGTCTCATCTCCTCCTTAGCCCATATCCTTAGGACATGACCCAAACCTCAACATCTGAATTTCATCATAGGGCCCGAATTCCACATCATCGCACTGAACACACCCAAACAAGATGAATCGAGCCAAAAATTCCAATCCCGAATACAATCACATGCTGCTCCATACAACTCAATGCCCGAAGAAATAACCTCTGACCACCATAGCTGTTCAAATAATACCCTGGATGCTAGCAACACACCTCACATTGAATATAACCTTATTCCGGACCTCCACATCACTGTCCATGCTAAAGAAACATGCAGGAGCTCATAGCCGCCTATGAAGTCAACCAGTCAAGAAACCCTCTCGCCCGCCAGGGCCATTATCCAAATCTTAGCAGGAATACCCACATAATTCCAAACACTCCTCACCCCCAATACCATAGTAACACTCTCAGGTCTAAGAACCACATCTCGACCAATACAAGCAGCCCAATTGATGACTCATCATAGAAACACACAAATTCTCACACTATAGAGCTCGTACACTGAACCAGCAATAATTCAATTACATAACACAAGGAAAAGCAAAGTAGAAGAATTTTCTAACAAGTGTAACATGTGCAACAACGAAAATATAGTTTTCATCAAATTGTTCCACAGAGGAAAACAGAACCCCAAATAAACACAAGGAAAAGGTATCTCATATACATCCGCTGCGGCGTGCAGCCCGATCCCAAATTCTCATCGAGCCAGTATACCACATAACATCTGCTCCGGCGTGCAGCCCGCTTCTAAATACGCGTCGAGCCAAAATGCTCGGGCTCACTGATCACATGAATACTGAAATCACGTACAACAGAGTGCACAAATAAAACTGTGGAAAAATAAATGAAAGTGCTGAAACATGAAAGAAGCAAGCACGACTAAGGTGCAATAAGCAAGTCAACATCACGAGGGCTATCTTGCCCGCATCACCATAAGGCCTGAACAGAATCACCACCTGCGTGGGAAATAATCGTACAACACCACTTCCTAACACAACATACAAGAGTAACACATATCATAGGCTAGGGCACATATAATATCCATCCTGCATGGTAACATGATCAAAATGACAACTTCATAGGAGCACACAAACTGAACCTGATACAAAACACATATTCTCGCTGGTCCTCCACATAGCTCACAATCGACTCCCGATCCTTCCCAATTAGATAAATATTCTTCGGAAGATCAACATCAACCTATCGATAACACATGCCATTAATTATTCCATTCTCAACATTTCTTCACAATCCACTAACAAGAAATATCCCACATACGGGGACACCTAGTCTCAAAACCTCAGGAATACTAAAAATTCCATACCCGGACTCAACTATGCAGATCAAATGGCTGATACATCACTCACCTTCCATCATCCTG